GGATTGCTCTCCGAACGAGGAATCCATTGGTGGGGTCACACGTTCGGTTCGTGCTCCTTTTAGCGACTCTGGAGCTCAAAACGCGTCCAGAGTTTTGGCCGCCGCCACCGGTCTTCTGGCCCACTGTGCGGCGGTGGCGGCGTTCGAACCCTCGCCCGGCCGGGCCGCGCAGGCCGCGCCGCCTCTGGCTGCCCGCGCTTGTAATGGCAGACAAATACGAGCAGCAGTGCACCAGCACGGTCCCTCTGTGGGAATGAGTGCCATTACCCACCGCTTTGACATTTACTGCCGTGGGGTGGCCTGGAGCGGGGCGCGGCGTGGCGCGGCGCGGCGCTGCGTGTACAGGTGATTCCGAGAACATATGGCTTCCTGCCGCCTCGGCACGCCGCGCCGCGCCACGGCCTGCGCGCTGCGCGTTTCGGAAAGGACTGCCGTCTCCCTCGCACTCGTTAGGAAAAAAGGTAAAGGGGGTGCGGAATGTGCGAAGGCAACATTCTCATACCGTTCCCACACGGCGGTCCAGCAGACTGATGCAGGGAGTCGTTTTCGTCGCTCTGTCTCTCTCGCACTCGTGGGGCGTCCCGTGTTGGTGCGACAGAGACAGAGCGACGAAAACGACTCTCGGAATCGGTCTGCAGGCCAATGGTCCAGGCGGTGCGCGCGCTGACAGTGACTCACATGCTGCCGCGCGCTGGCCGCGCTGCGCGCCTTTGACGGGGCCACGGGGCCTCGGCCGGCGACGCGAAATTAGGACCATCGGGGTGCTCAGGGTGCCTCGAGAGAGTATCCATATATTCCTGGGGAGATTCACAATGGCCTGTGTGGCTGCATGCCGCCGCGGTCGGTCGAGGTGCCGGACGAGCGCCCACACCGCGAGTTGTTGTTGTTGCTGGGCGCTTCTTTTCCTTTTATCATCCCTTGATTTGGAAATTAAACATTGAATCGTAAAATTGGAAATGCGAGCCGAAAGTCGTGCAGAACAAAAGGTGGAGAGAATCACAACGCGTCTCGCACACAATTTGATTACGTTCAGTCGGATGAGCATCACCCCCGCGCATGTCGGTCAGTGTGCGTGCGTGCGAGTGTGAGTGTGTGTGTGTGTGCGTGTCTGATCTCTCACCGCTAAGGAACACTCACACACACGCACGCACACACACGCACACACGTGCTCCACGCTGCCACTTTTACAACGCTACCCACCCGCCGGTTCGAATTCCAGGAATTGATAATAACGCCGGGATATGACATGGAAAAGAGGGGGAAGGGAGAGGGGAGACCCTATTAGTGCCTCGTTACAAATTTTGACGAGAAAGGTGGAAAACGGGCCCCTGCTTTACGGGCGTTACGTCGCTCGACGCGCAGCGCGCTCCCGTCACAGCGTGAAATCCGACGCCACATTCACACGCACGACATTCACGGCGGTCGACTTACACACAAGCGCACACAGAAGCATTCCATCGGGGCATGTTTTGGCCCGTAAGGAGCAACGCTAAGTGGCGGCCAAAAAGAAAAGGGTTTTCTTTTCTTCGGCCTTGGCCGCTAGATCCTGGATATGGGTTGGCCGGCGCGGCGTAGGTTTTAAGCGGGAAAACCAGTGGCGGGGCGAGGGGAGGAGGGGGCTCCTGCAGGAATCGGCGTTCCCTCGCCTTCCCGGTTCGAAAAGGTGTTTCATATCGGACGGGCTGGGCGGCGAGGCGGCGAGGCGGCAACACTGGCATTCATTGAAGATCCTGCATCGCATCGCCCGGCCAGGCCAGTCGCCTTCAGCATCGCCGGGGGAAGGGGGCGGGGGGTGATGGGGGTGCCTCCCCTGCTCGTCCCCGCCAACCCCCTCTAGGGCCTATCTTTGTACCAGTGCACCCAGGCTCCGACCGTCCTTTTGCTGCGGCCGCCCTGCCCCCTCCCCGCCCCCCTCCGCGCCGCCCCCCACCCCGACACCTGGCGGGGCCCGGCGGCGCGCTCATTGGTCGCGGCCGAGGGCGGGGGGCGTGGCGGGGGGCGGGGAGGCGGCGCGCGGGCGGGTCCTTGACGCGCCCCCCTCCACCGGCACCGCGGCGAAGCGGCCGAGGCGAGGCGGCTCTGGAAGACGGGCTGCTTGGCCGGCCGGCCGGCTGGCTGGTCCTGCTCGCCCTGCTGCAACAGGTAGGCAGAGGGACGAAGAAAGTTGATGGGACAAAGGATGAATTAAAGAGATGGAAAAGGAGGAGATAAGCGGAGGAAGAGGGAAGGGAGGAGAGGAGGGCCACTCCCGGATTGGCTTTGGCTGGCTTTGGCTCGATGCCCCCAAAGGCCCAAAGCGTTCGTTCCCACACCGACACGTCGCCGTCGTGCTGCCCTGCAGACTGATTCCGAGAGTCGTTTTCGTCGCTCTGTCTCTCTCGCACCCATGAGAACGCCCCCATGAGTGCGAGAGAGACAGAGCTACGAAGACGACCCCCGGAATATCAGTGTGCTGCCAGCCCTGCCCGCCCCGCCAGCCCTGCCACGGGGCCCACGGGGCCCACGCCTCCATTTGCTTCATATTTCTTGAAACCCCAGCCAACCCGGTCCACGGTCCAGCCTGACTCCAGACATGGAAACATTTCCGGTGGCGTGTGGGAACCGCGGCGACGTCCTCTGTCACGTGGCGGCCGTGGCGGTCAAGCAAGGCGTGAGAATGTCACTCGAATCGATACTGCCCGCGGCGGCTCGTGCGGCACGGCCACCACCTGGAGCAGGACTGGAGCCGCGTCTAGAAGGCCTCCAGGTGCTCCAGAGGAGCATTTTTCTGCCGAGAGCACTTCTTGTGCCCCAGAGCATTTTTCTGCCAAGAGCATTTCTTGTGCCGGAGAGCATTTCTTGTGCCCGAAAGCATTTGCCAGCATTTGCCTGGCGAGAGCTTTTCTCGTGCGCGAGAGCTGCGTTCAGTGCGGCAGCACTCCACTCCGTAGTGCACGTGCACCCCAAGTACCAGTGGACTGACGGCCGAGCGCCGCGCGGGCTAGGCAACCTCAACGCACGCGTGTGTTGGTGCGGCCGACGCATGCCATTTGCTGCGTAGAGTCCCGGGTAATGTAGGTTAGGTTGCTGCGGACCCCGATTTAGTTCGTTTCATTTCGTGTTGCAGTGCGGTGAATTTTTATCGATAGGGTAAACAGGGCAGCGACTCGCCAGTGTGGGCGTCTGGTGTTGTATCGAATCATTTACCTCCGGTAAGGCGATACTTTGGAACCACCAACGTGAAAACTACACCTCGACGTGTGCCCGGGTAACTCCAGCCCGCCCCGCCCCGCCCCGCCGCCCCTTGATGACCGACTTGGGCCAAACGATCTCACAAGCCTCGCTGGTGATCCTCTTCCTTTTTCTCCTCCCTTGGATTTTTTTCGGCTCAGGTAGCGTATCGGTTACGAACCGGCGACTTTTTGGCGGTCGTTCGCACATCAAGACCCCCGTCTGTCTGTCCGTCCGTGCGTCCGTCCGTCCGTTCGTCCGCGTCCGTCCGTCACCGCCGTGACGCACTTCGAGGCGTTCTCACGGCGCGGCCAGCGGCCAGCACACAGACAGCACCGCGAGGGGCGTTGGCGGGGCGTGGTTCGTTTCCCTGGCGCCGCGCCGCCCGCCGCAGGGCCGCAGGGTTGCGGTGCGGGCCAAGCCGCCAAGCGGTACTCCGTCGCTCAAATTCGGTTAGCGCCTCCCGACGCCGGCGTCCATGTCCCCGTTCCCAGGACACTGACTGATTCCGAGAGTCCTTTTCGTCGCTCTGTCTCTCTCGCACCTACAGTGAACACCCCATGAGTGCGAGAGCCACAGAGCGACGACGACGACTCTCGGAATCAGGCCGCAGCGCGTTTAGGAACCTCCCTAAAAAGGCGCCGGTGGACGCCGCTAGCCGAGCCGACCGAAAGCAGAGCCTGAGCTCGCCGACGCAGTGGCGCGCACTGGCGGTGTCAGAGCCGTCTGGCCGAGGCGGCAGCTGCGAGTTGTGACTTTCGGCGGCGCGCCTTTTCGCCTTTTTGCGACCCTTGTTGCGTTTTGCGTTGTCTGCTCGTTCGGCGGGAGGCCTCAGAGACAGAGGACGCCGCCGCCAGCCCCGCCCCGCCCCGCCCCGCCCCGCCCGCCGACAGAGAAGTTTGTGTTCGCCGCACGCCGCCCGGGGTTCGAGGTGCCCGTGGAGGTGCCGACTGCTGCTGCAGACTGATTCCGTGGGATGGTTTCGTCGCCCCGTCTCTCTCGCACGCCTACGGGACGCCCCGCGAGTGCGACAGAGACAGAGCGACGAGGCGACCCTTCGGAATCAGGTGGCCGCTCGAGGGCCAAGGCCAAGGCACGGCCCGCCGTCGGCCCGCCCGGACGCCCGGCCGCTTGACCAATGACCCCTTCGTTGGCCCTGCCGGCCCTGCCCTGCCGGCCCTCGGCCCGGAGTCTCGGCCTCCATCTTCCTGTGCGTGATCCCCGCCGGATGCACGGCTCCTGCCCACCACGCATCGTCCCGCCGAGTCCCGGCGTCCCGGCCGGCCGTTGGGGCGGTGTAGGAGCAGCGGACCCAAGCGCCGCATACGCCTGCCGCCTCAGGTCGCGCGAAAACCAATTTAAAAGCCGGCGTCGGCGATGGCACGGGTTCGAGTCCCGGTCCCGGCGCGCCGTTTTCTCGCGCGGCGGGGGTTGGTAATTGGGGCCGGGTGGGATGAGGATGGGGCGAGTGGACGGGAAGGAAGAGAGTCACTTGCAGTGCAGGTGTGAAGACGATGTTTGGTTGGCGCTTGCTGCACCTGTGCTGTCCTTGTCGGTCCTTGCCCATCCTTGTCTTGCTCACTCCAGTGCGGCCACTTCCACCCCATTCACCCCAACCCCCGCCGCCGCCGCGCCGCCGCGCCTCGCCCGGCCCGCCTACCTGTTGAAGCCTGTGGCTTGCTCGCTCGAGGTGGCGGGGATGGCGGGGGGCGCGACCGGCGGGGAGGGGGGGGGGGAGGGGGAGCGGCGATAGCCATGGCTGGAAGGTGGCGCTGCCCGGGCCGCTCCGCTCGCAAGTCGTGGACGCGCCGCCGTGCCGGCAGGACAGAGCGACAGAGAGCGTCTCGCCCGTGCCGTGCGTGTGCACTCACAGTGTGCACTCCGAGTGCAGTGGAGGCACTGAGTGGCACTCCGTGTGCAGTGAGGTGCAGTGCGGTGCAGTGTACAGTGCAGTGTAACTTCCAGTGAAGGCATGCGGCGCCGGTCGCAGCCCGCCGAGCCGCGAGTGACATGAGGGTGCGGGTGCTGAGCCAAAGGCTTTGCCAAAGGCTTTGCCTGCTGCTGGCGCTGTGCGCTGCCCTGCCTTCGCCCCTTCCCCTCGCCGCGGCCTGTGGCCCCGGCCGGGGCGCCGGGCGACGCCGAGGCCCCCGCAAGCTGACGCCCCTCGTCTTCAAGCAGCACGTGCCCAACGTGTCGGAGAACACGCTCGCCGCCAGCGGGCTGACGGAGGGACGCGTCGCGCGGGACGACAAGCACTTCCAGGACCTGGTGCCCAACTACAACCCCGACATCATCTTCAAGGACGAGGAGGGCACCGGCGCGGACAGGCTCATGACGCAGGTGAGTGCAGTGTCTGCGCGGCCACGCCGTCGACGAGGCGGTCATTCATTCGGCGGTTCAATGAGCTCCGCGTCAACAACCGCCCCCGCCGCGGCGCGCCGCCAGCAGACTGATTCCGTGAGTCGTTTTTATCGCTCTGTCTCTGTCGCCACTACACGGCACACTCCGTGAGTGCGACAGAGGCACAGTGACGAAAACGACTCTCGGAATCAGTGCGGCCGTCCGGAGGGGAGGCCCCAGCCCCGCCAGGGCGGCCAGGGCCGCGCGCACAGTTCAGTAACCCTCAGTGACAGTTGCCCGGCGTGACACTGTATGCGGTGACATTGCCCGGCCTGTGGCAGTGCCAGCGCGGCGCTTCGGCCTTTTACACCTCCAACATTTTCTCATTTATTTCGCTTTCCACCCTGAGGTACCCGTTTTTCGAGTTCTGAGCGCGGTGTGGCGTTCCCTCCCTGCAGGCGGATTCCGATCAGAACTTTATTCGCCGCTGTGTCTCGCTCGCACTCCGGGGGCGTTCCGCAGGAGAGCGCGAGAGAGACAGAGCCACGGCGTCGCACTGTTCGGAATCAGTCTCCTGACGGCCTCGGCGTTTAGTTCGAAGACTGGGAAGAGCGTGGAGAGGACCGGGTTTTTCTTGAGCAAACACCCATACTCGGAGAGCGGAGAGCGCGCGGGCCTTGTACGTTTTCTGTTTGCATTCGTCCTCGCGGGGCGGCGGGCCGGACCGGCGGGGCCCGGCCGGGGCCGCCGGGGCCACAAACACGGTTTGAAGGAATCCCTCTGGCGCGCCCGACTAGACGCGATGATGCCTGGGAGAATTTCCTCACCTGCTCGCTCGGTGCCGGGCGAAAAATGAAACCTGTGGAAATCGGTCCGCATTATTCAAATTGAAGGCGTTTTCGTGGCGTGGCGCTGGAGACCTGTTGGGCAACGCGGCGGACTCGCGTTTCGCCGCTGCGGCCGTGCGGACAGTGTGGTGGACGCCTCGGCGGCGTCGACGGTGTTTGCAGAGTGTTGATTTCAGAGCGAAGGGATTTGCATCTCATTTGGCGGACGGCGGGCGGACGCCAGGCGAGGCGGACACTGGAGGTCGACGCACGCGTCTCAAATGTCGCGTGTGACGACGCCCGCCGCCGTGTTGCGTCACAACGTCACGGCGGCCGTCACGGCGGCCCCGTCACACGCCGTGGCTTGGTCGTGGGCACTACCGGGCCTCCAAACGGAATGCAAACAAATGGTCCAAACTCCCGCCGCAGCGCGCTGCATCGTAGCGCCCGTCAAATGAGTGACAGAGAACCGTTCGTCTCCGGTTACCCCATCTTAGTATTTGTCGAGGCCCCGGCCGGCGTCAAGTTGTGTTGGCGTGGGCGGCCGGCGCGACGCTACCTGGCCTGGCCGCCCCGCAGACTGATTCCGAGAGTCGTTTTCGTCGCTGTGTCTCTCTCGCTCGCATGGGGCATCCCGTACAGGTGCGAGAGAGACAGAGCGACGAGAATGACTCTACCGGCCGCCCTGGCCGTCTCCCCGGCGGGTAGCACGGTAGAGCGGCCCCACAACATCCGCTGGTAGGCGAACCCGACACCCGCGACTGGCCGGCGGGGCCACGGCGGGGCCCTGCTCGCAGTGGCGTGGCGTGCCAGTGGCGTGCCAGTGTCGCCCAATGAGATAAGCGCAGTCCGACCCGACACGTCTGCAAACAGACTCGCCCCGTCCGCGTGTTCTTATCTCCCCTCAATAACGTGTAATTCATTTCGACCACTTGCGAGCACCGCGGCCGCCCGAATGACTCGCGCGACTGACTTCAGGAACGCACCCGAGAGGCAGAGAGCGCTGCTGCTCCGAGATCGATAGATCGAAAACGGTGTCAGAGTGTGGGTGATTGTCTGACGAATGGGGCGTGACGGCCGCGGCATTGTCGCGCTCGCTGCACCCAAGAGTCGCTTTCGTCGCTCTGTCTCTCTCGCACCTGTGCGGGACGCCCCACGAGTGCGAGGGAGACAGAGCGACGAAAACGACTCTCGGAGTCAGTCTGCAGGCCAAGCAGGCCCGGTAGCACGGGGACCGGCGTAATCAAATTATCCTATTGCTCTCCATTTTGGCCTAACAAGCCCCGTTCTGGTGGCCGCTGGGTGCGTGGCACTGCGTGGCCGGCTGGCCGGGGTGCGAGTGTCAATCACATCGGGCAGGTGACAAAAGTGACAAAGGCCGCGCATCAGCGGGGGGCATTGTAGGCCTTGTTGGCCAACACGCGGCGCGGGCGGCACGGCCAGCCATAGTACCCCGTCCAAACAAATCACCGGGAGGGAAGGGTTGTTGCGAAAACGAACCGCGGAACGGCGGCCGACACGTAAAAAAAGAATTTGTTGTGACAACGAAAATGTATGTTGATTTTGGGATAGCTAAAAAAAGTTGTTGGGCGTACTACCAATTTGTTGTCAGAACGAACATTTCGTTCTGACAACGAACTATATCGTCAGGAGTACTAAACACAATAAAAATGAATGTTTGTACTCCTAACGAATAATTTGTCGTGAGAGCAAAGTGTTCGTTCTCACAACAAATTTATAGTACGTCTAACAACTTTTTTTTTGCTATCCTAAAATCAACATACATTTTCGTTGTCACAACAAATTCTTTTTTTCCGTGGACGGCGGCCAGGGAGGCGACCTGTTGCTGCCGGCCGATTCCGAGAGTCGTTCTCGTCGCTCTGTCTCCCTCGCACTCATGGCGCGTCCCGTAGGGGTGTGAGAGAGACGGAGCGACGAAAACGACTCTCGGGATCCGTCTGCTGCAACAAGTAATGCGGCGGGCACACTGTACGCCGCCTCACTGCCGCCGCGGGGTCCCGTTGGGGCCGTAAGGGTGAGAGAGAGAGAGAGAGAGAGAGAGAGAAAGAGAGAGAGAGAGAGAGAGAGAGAGAGAGAGAGAGAGAGAGAGAGAGAGAGAGAGAGAGAGAGAGAGAGAGAGAGAGAGAGAGAGAGAGAGAGAGGCCTCGGTGCGCCGGAGGGGCCGCTCTCCGACACTCCGCCATTACAGGTGACTAAACAGGATTAAATAGACGCCATAAAACGGACCGCCTGCCCCGCCGGCGTCAAGTCTCTGGACAACGCTCTGAAAAGGGAAAGAAACGAGACAAAAACCTGCCACTTTCTAAATTTTAACTACTACTCCCTCTCTCGCTCCCGTCCCCCTCTCCCTCCCTCTCACTACGCCCGCCGTTCAAAGTTACCGCGCGTCATTGTAGAAAAATTAATTCAATTTGGTGTGGAGGATTGGTGTGAGGCGTCTTGGCTGAGGCCGGCCGGCCCACCTGCCCGTAATCCACCAATGCCGCGCTAAGGCCGCTAACGCTGCGCGGCCACGGCGGCCACGGCGGCACGGCGGCCACGGCCCCGGAGAGGAGACGGCCTCGCTGCGGCGTTGCCGCCCCGCGTATCAAATCGTTATTTCCTGCGACCCCAGCGGCCGGCCCACAGCCCAGCATGGCGAGCGCATATATATGTGGCCTCAAAATGGACGCCTCGGGACCCTCTGCTCCGAGGGACGGCCTGCTAGCCGCCACAGTGGGACGCCGTCGGCCCGCAGACTGAGAGCCGTTTTCGTCGCTCTGTCTCTCTCGCACTCATGGGGCGTCCCGTATGGGTGCGAGAGAGAGAGAGCGATGAATCAGTCTGCTGCTTGGCCCGGAGCCTCGCGGGGTACCGCCACGCCGTAGTGCCCTGCACGGGCCTACACTGGAGGGAGTACCCGCCACTACCGCCGGCCGGGGAGTCGTTTGAGGCGGCGGGGCTTATCAGATGTCGATTATTGACCCTGGCCCGAACATAATGGTACAAGATAAGTCCATTTACGAATAAAATATGATGAAGCCGCCCAAGGTTTTCAAGGTTTTCGGGTTGGGCGGTAGACCGCGTTGCCGCCCCGCCCTGGCCGCGTGCGGGGGTGCGGCGGGCCGATATCGGCGCCTTTTGCACGCCGTGGAGTCACTGGAGTCTCTGGAGCCGCTGTAGTCAGTCTCTCCGCGCTGCCGTGTGGCCTGGCCATAGGCCTGGCCGGGCAGTGTGTTGATTAATGTACAGGAACCCGCTGGACAAGTGGCACTCCAGAGCCGTGTTGACGCCTCCGTGCACCTGGGGGCGACCTGGGGGCCTGGGAGAGGCCGGGCTGCCTGCCCGTTGAAGCAAGGGTTGTCGACCACACAAAGCACCAGCTACTTTTCCCCCCTTTCTTCATCTTTCTTTATTTTTAGAATCGAGACAAATCTCTCGTGTGTGTGTGCGTGCGTGTGTGTGCGTATGTGTGTGTAATCGCGCGGGGCCCTTACACGGCCGTGTGATGTACTGGTTTCACATTCCTTAAAAGGGGCTCACCTGCAAAAAGGCGAGTCTGTCTGTCAAAACAGAAACAGGGGGGAAAAAGAGCGAGTGGCTCCATAAACTTGATGCTACATCATTAATCCCTTTTTATTTTGGCTCGCAATGATAATTATCGCGTGCAGTATATGGACTGGCCCCCGTTTACGGCCCGGCCACATTGTTGTGGATGCGGCCGCTCGTCGCGGTCACGGCTGGGCTGCGGGTTCGATCCCCGCCCGCGCGCCGCCATTTTCTTTTTTCTCCGCTCTGAAAATCCAAAGGTCAGACTCATCGCCACTCCAGAGGTGAGGCGAAAAGTCATGCGAATTTTTGGTCGAACCTGAAAGACCCACCAAAATTCAGTCAGACCAAGTCTTACCGCGCAGTTGGTCAGTCAAAATGGTCTGCTGGGACCATTATTTTGCAGTCAAGATTTTGGTGAGTCTTTTCTGACCAAAAGTTGGAAATACAAGTCACCTGCCATGTTTTGACGCTTAGTGTTTCCGTTCAATTTTCAATTATTTTCCCGAGGGTTTTTCCCTGTTTTTTTGTTGTTTTTGTTGTCACCCGTGTGTCAGCTTGTGTATGTTCGTGGGCGATCCTCTGGGCTGCCGATCGGGGCTGTCGTCGGATCCGGCTTCAGTC